GGAAACACTGGGAGGAAAGCTCTGCCATAAAGGAAAACAGTTTGCTGCATTAGCCACTTGTCTTGGAGGCTTATAAATAAACCTTGAAGTTTGGAGATGATAATAATCCCTTTTCCAATACACATGTGCAGAAGTAGCCCTGACCACACAGCTACTGAGGCATGAAAAATGCTGTCAAATCCGTACCACTTGGCGCACAGAGTAAGAGCCAACTCTTAACAAGTATCACACTTAAGTAACATTTATTTTATGGGAGTGGATGGTCCAGGTTCAGAGTACTCATGCAGTTAAGGGCCTGGCGGCTGACAAGAGCTTTCCCCCATCTGTGCTATGTGTAAGCACTTCCGCTGAAGTGAAAGTAAGGCAGAACCACGATTCAGCAAGGTACAGGCACTTTGTTCCCAGTTCAAGCAGGGAAAAAAAAAAGCCTACATCAGGTCCTGGCCCCCCCACCCCAAAAAAGCCTCACGCTTGTTAAACAAAGTGTTGTAAAAAATAGAAAAAATCCAAGATACAGAAAGTCAGTGCTCCCTAACCATACACTACTAGTTTACATCATCATATGTAGGACCAGAAGGATAGGAAATAATAAAACAAAGCTTACTCTTAACAAGTGTTCAGCTACCTGGGACAGTTAGTGATATGTGTAATACCAAGCATGTGACAGCAGTATGGTAAGAGCCTGGCTTGGTATTGCCAACTGTGTCTTAACAGCTTGTCTAACTGTGTAGTCAAAGGACTGCTTGTAGGAAGTAACAGGAAAGGTATGTTAGATTCCATGTTATCTGGTTACATAAAGTGATTTACAAAAAAACTCAAGATACCAAACAATATTCTAAATAAATAGTTCATCTTCATGACTATATACAGAGTCCCCATTACATCAGTTATCCAAGAAGGGCATGTCTGTGTCCATGGGTGCTGGGGCAAGTTCATATAGATAGAAGAGCGTGGCCTCGCTTGCTTCTGCTTCTGTCAGAGGCTCTAGCCGCACCAGCTTGCTCTGGGTGGGCTGGGGGTCCAGGCTGCTCTCCAGCAGCTCATCCACTCCCAGGGGTTTGTCGACAGAGGAAGGAGTTTCGGTGGTGAAGCTCCCGCTGTCGACGGCGGCACCTGGGTTCCCATCCAGGAATGCAAGGAGAGGAAACGCAGTGTACTGTATGAGCTGCTTATCTGGGGGAAGAAAAATTCCCAAAACATGGTCAGTTCATGTGCCCTTCTGCACGCAAAAGGACAAAACCAAAACCTACCCCACAGAATTTACTTAAAGAACAATCAATAAAAAACATTATGGCTGTTTGTTTTACATGAGTGATTAAAGGAATGTTACATCCATGCATAGCGTTATTTGTTCGGATTCTCCTGCAAAACCAACTGTTTCTCTGCACCTGGTACAGTGCCAAAAACCTAAAAAGCAAGTATAGTTAAGTTTTGCGTTTTGGTTATGTGCTTATCAGTGTGACACAGAACTAGACAAATTGCAAATAACCAAGATGGTTTTTTAGAACAATGCTTGTTAAACTGTTTCAATAAAACACGACAACTAACCTGATTTGGGCTTAGAAACTTGTGTTTCCTGTGAAGCTGCTGGACCATCATTATTCTTGGTAGTTTCTATTCCCTTTGTCTCCATCTGGAAACAAAAGCAAAATCTTGAACACATGCTTAAAGCCTTTTCAATGCCACTAGAACACAGCTGACCAACTATTAAAAACCCTGAAATTTCTCTTTGTGCGGGGATGTTGTGCTGTCAGTTACCCATATGAATGGGTAAGACCTTGGCTTGAGAAAATGTGACATGGAAACACAGGCTTACCCAAGCAAGAACCAAAACACCAATGCTCACATGCAAATAGGACAAATTCAAAGAGCTAGGTCTTTGCTCTATCGCTTATTATTATGTTTCTTTTCCCACCAGACAATACAGATGAAAACATTCTGACTAAGGGTGTACCATGTTTGCAAGTACTAAAATCATACAGGATACAAAAGTCAAGAGACTGGTATAATGTACAAGTACTGATCTCAAGGTAATACGAGTTTTAAAGGACATTAATTTAATTAGTGTGCTTTTCCCTTTTCTGTTTAAAACCTCACAAACAGGATGAACTCAGCTGCAGCCTTCCTATTCTCATAGAAGTCTTCACAGCCAGAGCATGAAAGAAGTGCTATTACATCAGTAAAGAAAACAGTAAAGGATGAATAGAGTTTTGCATCTCTCACTACCGAGTACATTGAGCAATGGATTTCAGACTTACTTTGGTATTAGTGATATGATCTGTGGGATTCATCTGCACGGAGCTTGTAAAAAGCTGAATAAGACAAAACACATCAAGTTTTAGGTATCTCCATGCCGCTATTAAGAATACAAGAACCTTGCATCTGCATGTGTGAGAATAATCCCTGTACTTAATGTTTTCACCCTCTATCAGGATTAGTTTATTTACAGGTAGTAACTGCTTTTGCAAAGAAAACCTAGCTTTGCAGTGTAACAGTTCAGAATTCCATGAACCTCAGTCACAAAGGAAACAACTGTATTGCATCTAACTTAGTCTAACATGGTTTGCTGCAGTCTTAAAACACAGATTCCTTCTTACGTTGCTGCATGGAGAATTCAGCATACAAGAAGGAAGAACACATCGTCATCAGCTTTGCAAGTGACACCAAACTAGAAGGAGTCATCAATACACGGGAGAGCAGAGCCGCTGTTAAGAGGCGTCTCAGCAAGGTGGAAAAGGGGCCAACAGGCACTCCACCAAGTTCAACAGCCAAATGTGTTTAGGACACCATAAACTCATGCGCTGGCCCAGGTTAGGGAACAAACAGACAGCGAGCAGCTCCTCAGACAGCTACCTGGGAGTCTTGGTAGACAACACTCTACCATGCAAGCAGCATGGCCTTGCTACAGGGAGGCATGCTCTGCCACAGGCAAAGCACAGCCAGGAGGTCAGTGGATGCAATTATTTTTCTCTGCACAGCACCTGAGGCCACTTGGGGAAGAGCATCCAGTTTCAGGCCTCCCAGTACAAGAGTTTTCAAACTAGAGGGTGTCTGGAGGGCCACAGATGTTCGGGAGCTTATATGCAAGAGGCTGAGGGAGCTTGGCTAATCTTGTCTGGAGAGTGCAGACAAGGGAGGACAACTGCACTCTTCCACTGCTTCTAAAGAGGTGTTACAGAGAAGACAAACTCCACAGAGGTGGACAAAGGACAAGAGGCAAGAGCTACACACTGCAGCAGGAAAACTGTGACTGACGTAAGGAAATTCTTTTAAAAAGCATCAAGCGCTGGAACAGGCACCTGAGAGGCTGTGGCATCTCCCATGTTTGAAGATTTCAGAATTTGAGTCAACAAGGTCCTGAGCAACATGACCTAACTAACTGTCAAGCTGGCCCTGCTTTGAGCAAGGAGGCTGGACTAGATGACCTGCACAGGTAGGTCCTTTCCAACCTAGACCACTCTACTCAACATAAATCTGAAGAGAAATTGAGAAAGTATACTTATTTCTAAGACACAACCTGAAATGGCAGAGAAACTTGTAAAATAAATGCCAAGAGCCTTTTTAACCCCAGTTCATTGAGAAGACCACAGATGATGTGCTGAGCTATTTCAAAGCAACAGTATTAATCTAACTCATGTCTGAGTTCATGTAGCAATGTGAATATAAACGTTACTTCATTGAGAAAGCCATCCTTCAATAAAAAATGTAACCATTCTCTTGAGCAGTGGTGTAGCACTGAGAATTACACCAGTGCCCCAGGAACACATATTCACAAATATTTACAACTTTCCTTTTTTAAAGGGAAAAAAGAAAAAAAAGACCTGTTGTGTTTTAAATCTATTTTAAACAGTAACAACCCACACAAATAATAAAATAAACCGTGAAAATTACATCGACCAGGAGATCTGGATCTATGCTGAACTGTCGTCCCGATAACATAGCCTGGAAGTCCTCTAAACTGCAGTCGATACTGTCAAGATAATCCAGAAGTTCAACTCTAGAAGACAAACAATATTTTATTGCTGTATCACTTAACAAACAGAAGAGAAACCCACAATTAAGCTTTAAACAGATGTACTACATGCATCTAACAATCTTCATCAGAACTAGAGTGAACTAAGTCTTTTATTAGATACAACCTCTGGAGAAAAATGAAAACTTTTAGCATCTTTAGAGGAGAACCAAGTACAGCAGACGTGCTCCAAAACAGGTACCACATCAACATAACATGATGACATGACATCAGCAGAGATGCAATTCTTGCATCCAGGTAGCCCTAATGAGTTCCATCCGCCTGCAAGAGCTACGCAGTCAAATCCTGCAACATTACACTGTCAGATCATCAGACCCCAACTCATTCACTTCACAATGAAAACCAAAGATCCCATCTTAAAACACTAAGAAGAATCTTTAGAAACGGGCTAGAATAAAGGTGACCTAAAAAGTTCTCGATAGAAACTACTATTCAGTTCTTTTTACTTTGGTCAAACAATCCATTCTAATACTTGAAAAAACAAAAGGCCAGGCTACTCACTTTCCAAGAAGATTTATGTTCTGTGAAATTACTCCATTCTCATCGAGTATGGAATCCATCACTGAGACCGGATCTTCTGCAGTTAAAGTTGACTGGTTATTCAGCTGCACAGCACTTGACATGAGTGGACTTGTACTATCACTGACAGGGCTGAGGGGATCCTTAGCTGAGAGAGCAACTGATTCTGTGCTTTTATCCCCTTGAATTACAGGGGCATATTCTTCTTCGTTATCATCTTCCACAATTACAATATCGGGAGAATGACTACAGCTGTAATACGAGACAAATGAATTAAAGCATTTCATACACTCATTTAAGTTGGTACTATTCCACAGGTTTAGTTACTTCTCATTTTAGTCAAGCTACTATAAGGAAATAAACTTCCCTACTGCTTTTTAATATGAAACACAGCAAGATACTCTTAACATCTATTTTCCGTTGATGTGGTGCTGTAATGCTCAATAGTTAGTGCAGCTCAGCTAGCAGACACTGTTGTGCTAGGCCACAATAACAACTACTATAAAGACATAGGAACACTAATATTTTTTGCATTAGAACAACTATAAGCTCACATATAAACTTAATGTATGCAAGAAGTGGACCAAAGTATATGAGGCCATCAAACTAGACAGATTATATATATTTTGCATCTTCTCCCGTTGAACAGAATCAACTCTGGAGTATCCGTAACATAAAGGATCTCAGTCAATAATAGTGTTGTAGTTAATTAACCTTGTTATGTATACCAGGAAGGCAACCTAAAAACCAAGGAAGAGTTTCAAATCATTTGCTTTCCTCCATATTCTGGTCTTCCTAACCCTTAAGTAGCTCTTAGTTGTGCTGCCTTGCTATCATAACCTTCTCTTCAGGAAGCTTTTCCATCAGAGAATGCATTCCCAGATACCAGCCGAACAAGAACAATGGTACTAGTTCAAGTCTAAGCATCTAAGTTTTACTCCCTGAGGCATAATACAGGCCCTATCAATACAATGCAACTCAGGAAGAGAGTTGCATCTCAATCCCTGGACCAAGTTTCAACTGTTCATAGCTGAAAGATGAACTACTTCTACAGTGCTAAGTACAGACAGCAAGGAACATAGTCACAAAACATTGGGGACTGAAAAAACACCCCTGAAATTAAATGGCTTAATAAAGTTCAAAGACCACACCAACACTTGACAAAACAGCACATGCCAATTAAAATCTATAAAAACAAGGGAAGGCATCCCTGTCTGTATTCATAACCAAAAGTAAGAAGACATCACTTACTTCGTCTTTGGGCAAGTAATATATTTAACAAGAGTGCAATAATACAGATTGCTTCTCACTAGTTTCTATCCTCAGCATATTAAAACTCCAGCAGCCAATTAATTATTTGGAACAAATCTAGAGGTCAATAATTCAGAACCAAGTGTGAATTCACCGTTGAAGCTTCTATATGTGCAGGAGTATTGAATAATTCTGACCACTTCATTAAAAAAACCCAAAAACCTAAGACATCTGAATTACTGCATATTATACAACACTGAAAGCAAATTATCCATATAGATTTCTAGAGACTTCTTACTTGGAAGAATCTGAAGTGGTATCTTCATTTGCTTCTGGTGTAACAGGAAGATTTTCTTCATCATCCATGGGATTTTCTTCATCACCCACATCCTCAGTGACATCATAAATAATAATGTCATCTGAAATCTGTTCCCTTTGTTTTAAGCCCTCATTTCTGTTGAGAGGTACCTGAGAATTATTTTTGAAAAGAGTCAGGGGACAGAAGGACAATAAGCTTCAGCATTCTGACAGTTATCAGTGCATCTTACAATGCTTCAGTTCTAAAGAGGTGTAAGAGCTTTCCTACACCTGGGCGATTACAAGCTGTTTGTATAGATCTACATTTAGTAGAAAAACTATACAAATAAACGAACATGCTGGAGAATAGCAACTACAGAAAAAAAAAGTTTGGCAAATACTACAGGCATAGAAATAAAAATATACTAGCACTGTCAGCAAAAGCAACAAAAAAGCTGCGACAACAGGACTACACAAGAACTAAAAATTTTAAAACAGTGACTGCCATTTAAATAGCACTTTGTTACAAAGCTAGTAATTCCAGTACCGTGCTACAGCACTCATTCTAATGATTTCCCCACCAACCATTATTTGGACAGCAGAAAATAACTTTCAGTGGCAGGACACATTCAAATGGCACAGCAGCTTTGCTGGGTTGGATGCTGCCTTGCAGAGCAACACGCCGGATCCTTATCCCTGTGTGGGGCTAGGGGTGCCTAACCCCCCGAGATAACACCACAACATACATATGCTATTTCTAACAGCATTATTATTAAAAGCAAACTGCTTTCAGTAGGATCATATCAAGCTGTATTTAATACACAGGTAACTGGCTTATAGGTGCTTATATTGAAAAGTGATGGTGATTATCAGCACACTTGTCTCTAAAGGAAATGCAACAGGGCACATCACTTCTAAAAGTTGATAGCTCTCGGTACATAGCTACATTTTATTCCCCGTAAGACAAGCTACTTAATCTGTCTGCCCCCCTCCACTCCTTCCTTTGTCATAACAAAGAGAGCACACAGAAGAAAACTTACATGGTGGTTACTGTCAGCTGGTTCTTTCACAATTTGCTGAAATACATTCGACTTTGTAGGTCCATTAGTGTTCAGAAGTAGCGGCCTAGATCAGAAATAATTAAGGAAGCAAGCCATTTAAAAACAAATTCTTTAGTTTCAGTCAACAAAACATTTCAGTATATTGACTGGACAGCAAGTTTTCAAGACCGTATTTACCTCTTGCGTTTTAGGCTCACTAGTTGGTTATTCTGCACCAAGGTAACAATAAATTGTACAATCTATAAGGAAAAGAACACTATTGTTAGTCGCTCTACTCTAATTTTTTCTCTCAGAGTACCCAGATATCTTATAGCAGAACATTTCAATAATAAAATCTATACATAAACAGCAGAACACTTATTTTGTGTAGTAACTTTCATATAGAGATGTTCTGGAAAGTTAAAAATTGTGGTAGAATAGAAAACACTGCTGGTAATATCTGAAAAGTGTAGTCAGTTGTCTGAGAAAGGCTTTTCACATAGCAGGCAGTAAGAACAGATTTTGACGCTAAATCATCTGGTGACACCCCACCTGAAGCACTGTGTCCAGCTCTGGAGCCCTCAGCACAGGAAAGACATGGACTTGCTGGAGAGGGTCCAGAGGAGGGCCACAAAAATTATCAGAGGGATGGAACACCTCTCCTGTGAGGAAAGGCTGAGATAGCTGGTGGTGTTCCACCTGGAGAAGAGAAGGCTCCAGGGAGACCTTATTGCTTTTTAGCAGGGCCTGCAGTTATAGGACAAGGGGTAATGGTTTTAAACTAAAAGAGAACAGATTTTGACTAGATATAAGGAAGAAATTTTTCACACTGAGGGTGGTGAAACCCTGCCACAGGTTGCCCAGAGAGGTGGTAGATGCTGCATCCCTGGAAACATTCCAGGTCAGGTTGGATGGGGCTCTGAGCAACCTGACCTAGTTGAAGATGTCCCTGCTGGGAGTCTGTTACAGACCACCCAACCAAGATGAAGAGACAGGTGATACATTCTATAAGCGACTGGGCCCCTCACTACAAGAAGGATGTTGAGGTGCTTGAGCGTGTCCAGAGAAGGGCAACAAAGCTGGTGAGGGGTCGGGAACACAAGTCTTATGAGGAGCGGCTAAGGGAACTGGGGTTTGTTCAGTCTGGAGAAGAGGAGGCTGAGGGGAGACCTTGTCGCTCTCTACAACTACCTGAAAGGGGGTTGTGGCGACGAGGGCCTCTTCTCCCAAGTAACTAGTGATAGGACAAGAGGAAATGGCCTCAAGTTGCACCAGGGGAGGTTTAGATTGGATATTAGGAAAAATTTCTTCACTGAGAGGGTGGTCAGGCATTGGAACAGGCTGCCCAGGGAGGTGGTGGAGTCGCCATCTCTGGAAGTGTTCAAGAAACATGTGGATGTGACACTTCAGGACATGGTTTAGAGGACATGGTGGCGCTGGATTGATGGTTGGACTTGATGATCTTGAAGGTCCTTTCCAACCTAGTGATTCTGTGCTCATTGCAGGGGGGTTGGACTAGATGGCCTTTAAAGGTCCCTTCCAACCCAAACTATTCTATGATCATACAGTACACAGAAAAATATCCAGTAACTCAAACTATTAGAAGAATTCTAATATGCAATGACAGAAGGCACACAGGGATGTTGACTGTATACATGACCTGTATCTGTAAATACTGGCGTTGGTGAAAGGCATTTTTGACAGATTCAGAAAAAATTACAAATACACTTAACAGCATTTATCAGCTGTCTTCCTTTTTTGAAATGTTAGACTTTCTTCCCCTATGTTTTATGTTTAAGAACTGAATGCATGTATCTAGCTTGAACAAACTGGAAAAAAAATAATCAGTAAGAGTCTTTGCTACAAGGCTGCTTTCAGTGATGCTATTTCTAGTACCTAAAAAAAATAAAATCTGTAAGCTCTTTGCATTTACATCAGTTTTGGTAATCATAAATCTAACTGTTAAACTAAGCTAAGCTAACATATTATCAATGGGTTCCACTCAATAATCTGTTCTTCTGATCACTGACCCACTGACTTCTGAAGTGGGACAACAGTGAATTTCCAGTACAAAACTTTGTAATTCTTGCAGTGAGAGTTTTTCGTGAGATCATCCAACACACCATAGTAGTCATCCTATTCCTGAGGTAAAAAATGGATGGACCATTTTAAGGGTACTGTAATGAATGATGTACAATGTTCTTGAATCTCTTTCTTTGAAATGGTTACAAGAGTTTGGCCTTGTCTTCTGCTTATGTGGTGAAATACACTGAACATTCGTTTCACCAGATTTGTTCACCGTACACCACCCTGTTGCTTCTTCTATTAAAGAGACATTTCCTACACTACAAAAAAAAAAAACCCAGTGAGGGCAAAGCAAAGTAACATGCGGCACAGGATTCCTACTTCAGAAGCACTCATTCACTAACTCATTCACATACAACACTTGAATGAAGCCTTACCTTCCGAATAACTTGCTGTTGTTGCAAGTGTTTTGCTCTCAGTTCTGCCACTTCCCTCCAAAGGGATTCATTCTCCCTGTTTGAAAAGGATGATTTAAAAGTCAAACTAAAACTGAGTTTTACAATATTTACATTAATAATTTTTGTTAAAGATTAGTTAGTTAGATTAGATTTTGTTAAAGATTAGCTTCATTAAAGCTCTTTGAAATGTATTTTTAGACTGGGAGAGAAGTCACACAGTCAGCAGCCTTGGCAAATAATTACAAAACTGAGACCCAAACACAAGAAATAGCCTGTGGAGAATTTCCAGTCTCCTTAAAAAAAGAAAATTTAAATCCCAAGTTTGGCACATACATTCAGCATTTAAAAATTAACTATTTTGTTTCTTTTCCCATAACAAAGTTACCTTCCCCTCTTCCCTCTAGTAATTAAATTCTAAGGAATTAAAAAAAAAAAAAAATCAAGCACACAACTGGTTTCTGGCAGCAGCAAAGGACTAAACAGTGTAAAAATGCAGTTTCCTCTCACCACTAAAAACCAAAATTCTTCATCTACATCAAGCCTGTTTGTCCTCTCTCGCACACCTCTTGCTAGATGCAAGCCACCCGTCAGAAACAGTACATCCACCTTGAAAGTATCTTTACAGAACAAACTCTCCAAGTCACACATACAGCTGTAGGTCATCTTATCAGTTGCCTCTATTAACTCCAGTAAAGGGGCACATTGGGTGCTAAAAAATAATAGGAGCACAGCAGAGATGGCAGTTTTCATGAAACACTGCCATTTTGCAAACCTCGGTTGTTCCAGTACTCACAGGAGTATTTTATACTGATACAGTATAAAAACGGCTGTAAAGTGGCCCTTGCTATTGTATCCATGAACCTTGTTGTTTCCAACAGCATAAAGCATATTAAAAGGTAGATAATGAATACTGAAAGCTTCAATGAATAAGGAAAGACAACATACCATCCTCCTCTCTTCTGCAGTTTAGTTTTCAACACAGATGTATGCCAAAAAAAGGAGGAAAATCCACCAGCGTTTGGGTTTTTAGGAAACCCTAAAGCTAAGTTTTCAGAAACAGCTGTTTATATGTAGTGTGATGAAGCTTATTACTCACTCCTCAAACTGCTCCTATGTCCAACGTACAATTTAAGAGTACAGTTACATCACAAATTTAACAAATGAGGTCAGGGATCCTGAACTTTCTCAATTTTCTCATCAGCTTTATTAACATGTTTTGTAGGACTAGGTCTTCTGATTTAGCTCTAGTTTCTACCTCAATAATTTTAAACTCATGGGACAACAACATGGATGTCAAAGACCAAACATTCTATCTTCTCACCTCTACAAACTATCATGTTGTTAGCAACTGGATGTCATCTGAGCCAAAGTCAGCCCTGCTCTGGGCAGGGTTTAGACCTGACGGCCTTCTGAGGTTCCTTCCTACCCTAATTCATCTATGGTTTGAAAAGGGTGAATATGAACATTTTTACTCTACACTGGCCAAATTCTAACAAAGAGTCTTCCTAGCCAAAATAAATTTGCCTCTGAATATTCTACCACTCCAGTAATTAGAGCTGAAGACTAGAAATGACAGCATTTTACTTCTTAATACTTGAACTGATCAATGACCTCTGCCACAGAGGTACAACAACCATTTACATTCTCAACTTAATGTAAGTTAAGGAGTCCTGAGATAGAGTTACTGTTGAGATGCTGAGACTTACAGCACATGAGCTTATGCTCATATATTCCGTCTCTATCTACATAGTCTAAAGGATTAAGTAATTTGTAACACACATTTCTTTCATTGTTGAGAGTAAATCGTAACAACTAAATTGGTAGTAATGCAATTCTAAAAATACTCTATTTACATTTGGATTTTAGATTTTGTACCTCTGTCACTCAGGTAACTAATGAGTTTCCAAATTAGACTTCTAAACAGATTTTCATTAACTCTTCTGCAATTTTTAGCCGTGTGGGAATGAAGACAGGAAAATAAAAAAGCAATGAGCAAAGACATTAATTGTAGGAAGAAAGTAGTATAAGCAATTTGCACAAACCGAACTCTGCCTCAATCTAAACACAGTAATTACTTCAAACTTGAAGACACAAAACAGCATACATTATGTATGCTAAGAGCTAAGTTGAATATTCAGCATTATGGAACTATTATTAAAGGTGTTATTTAATTGCCCACCAAGAGACAGTTCTTAAAACACCAACATTGCCTATTACTTTTAGTCATATCACAATATTCAACTTCTAATGCAATTCTTTTATTGAAATTTATTTTCCTAAAGCAGTATTTAAAGTTAGGCAGTAAGACATCAAGAGATGCCTAAAATTAGGTGTTTGTCCAATATCTGTTATCAGAATTACTCAATTTTAGGGATCTGATGGAGCAACTTACGTCTTCAAAGCAGACAATCGAGATTCAATAGTCTCTTGTTTAGTTTGCACTTTTTGAGCACTACTTATTATTTTGGAGAGATCTTCTTGACGTATCTTGTTTTCTTCAGGTCTTGAAGAAGAAACCTTTAAAAGATTTGAATTCAGAAACAACACTTTCCTTTACTCATTGGTAACTATTATTTTCTTTTGGTGATCAAGTATATTTTCTTCTAGTGTTGATAAACTATACATTTAAGTTAATACTAAACCAAGCATCAAATTAAAAAAATACAGAAACACACAGAAATGTCCTCTTACAGTTGTCATCACATTAGCTTTAGCTGTTACAAACATTTGTGTACATTCAGATTCCTCAGACATTCTTCTAAGTGCTCCACAATAACCCAATGTTAATAAGTGTATCCCTCTCACCTTAGTTTAACTTGCCATATTTCTATTCGATATCTATATTCACCTTACTCACAATAACAGCAGAGCACATTTCAGAATCACATTTAGCAGCGTAACAAACATGTTTATAGGTTTGCTCCCTGTTCTCTTTGGTGGCAAGTTTAATGTTTACAGTAGCTTTGATCTGAAACAAGCTACAGAAACAAGCAGACTGTTATATTACTGATGGTAAAGTCAATGCATGCTCTGCACTTCTCCTAATACCCATTTGCAAAATATCATATTTGCGTAACTTACTCATTTTTGCCATCTGTGAAATTTACTTACAACAAAGTATGTGACAGCAAAGCAGGTTAGGTAAAGAAGCCTAGTCAAATCTCCCCAAATACCTTTATACAAGTCAAGAGATATATGAGAGCTGCGCAGTTTGCTTGCCCAAACTTACTTCACTCACAGTCCTGGAATTAAACTTGATCTGAACTTTGCCATTCACTCATACTTACTAGTACAGGTTTTCCTCATACTGAATCTTCACTAACCTTCCTTTTAATGTGTTCCAACAAGTCCTCCCGGCCCTGCTTAAAATATGGGTGCTGAAACTCTACTGGACCATCTCGCTCCAGTTTTACAATCCCAGAATCAACATGGACAACTTTACGGAAGCCATCTTTAAAAAAAAGAAAAAAAAAAAACAACCTCTCAAAACCCACATTAAGCAATTCAAACTATGCTGTTCCAACTATCTTGTTACCAGTTCTGAGGATGAGACAGTAGCCTGGTTGCAGAGAACACAGGGCCACTGCTCAAAGGATTAACTGTCTATAACTAAACATATACAGGATCTAGAACTATGCTCGAAAGCAAAAACCCAAGAACTTACACATGTTTAACTGTCTGACAAAGCTTGCCATGTTGTTGTGCTTGAAGTACTTGGGAAGAATCTCTTTTGCGAACCTCTGTTCATCCAACACCAAGAAACTCTGGCCATTCTAAAATGAGAGAGACACATTAAGCTACTTAAAGACCATTGTAGAAAACACGCTGGGCTTTTAGAATTAATCACCAGATAGGAATGTTTCCTTTGTGCATGCAGTATGTAACTGATCTGCTTGCCTACAATTTTCCACAACAAAAAGTGTACAAACCCTGCAGTTCCAAAGCAACAGAGTATTGCTATCCATAACTGAAGGGGAACATCTCTATTGTTACTCATGGATTCCTCAAGAAATTAATTGTTTACCAACAATTACTAAGGCTTCACTACAGGACAACACTATCAATTTTGTATATAGCTTCAGAGTACTGGAAAGGAATCTAACAAAGAGACTGTGCAAGGAAAAAACCTAACAACCAGCCGAGAGTCCCTTCTACTTTCCAGTATAAAAGCATGATTAGTTTGATAGGACTGGTAGAGCAGACGGAGCTGTCAAAGAGCTAAGGGTGTCCACTGGGTTTTGGAGCTACCAGGAAGGTAACCACCCAAGGCAATAACTCTGTCCTCCTGGGACGCCAGTTTTGAGTCTTTTTTTCATCCACGGGCTTTGACTAAAATAGAAGGCTCAGCTCTTTATTCTTCAGTGACTGTGCTCCATTAACTGAAGGACAAGTAATTGACAGAATCCAAATTAGCTACTTCAAAATGGTTTAGGTTTTGTCTGTACATCCACAGCAACTCTCACCCTGTATTTAATGAGAAGCCTATCATCTTTGACAAATGTCAACACTGATACTGCATCTTCTTAGAAGCCCTTTAGTTCAAGGACTCACATCTGTCTCTTACCCTCAAATGCCAGCAGCTCTATGATCCCAAGAAGCTTGCCGAACCAACCATAAGACCACGTGAGAGCCTTGCTCAAGAGCTTGTTTCTGACAAACCAGTAAGCATTGTCACAAAAAGGATTTACAAATGGCTCACCATTGGATGAGTTAGGAGTTTAAGACTGAGAGGAGGGTAGGAAGATGAAAGCTTCCCAGTAATGCCTTACCTACCTCCTGCTGAGAATCAGTCAGTGGAATCGAAAGGGGAAGCAAAAGAATGGGCAGGAACAGATGATTTTAGCCAGTGCGTTAATGAAACTCATCAGCTGCGGGTACCCAAACAGCACTACAGTGACCTGTGATGCCAACAGACAGCTTTCATGCAGCACCTCATTTCATTGTCACTTTGACATTGTTCAGGCCTAGCGCAGAAAAATCTGGGAAACACATCTACTAGTTCTTGTTGCCCTGACAATTGTTTACACCAAAGCTGTACAGATGTTAAGGCATGACTTGAACTCTCTGAAGCATTACTACATAGCTAAATACAGTTTTAAAGCCCTAGTGTTACTGACTGCAGCATACAGCAATCTTCCAAGTACTTCATTTGGTACTCCTTGTACGTGTTTCCATGGACAATGCATACCCATGGCTTCACTGAGATACAGAATAGAAAAGACTATTTCAGTTGGAAGGGACCTACATCAATCATCTAGTCCAAATGCTGACCACTTTGGGGCTAGCCAAAAGTTAAAGCATGTTAAGGGCATTGTCTATATGCCTCTTGAACACTGACAAGCTTGGGGCATTGACCACCTCCCTAGGAAGCCTGTTCCAGTGCTTGACAACCCTCTTGGTAACGAAATGCTACCTAATATCCAGTCTAAACCTTCCCTGGTGCAGCTTTGAACCACTCCCACACGTCCCATCCCTGGGTCCCAGGAAAAAAGAGATCAGCACCCTCCTCTCCACTTCCCCTCCTCAGGAAGCTGCAGAGAGCGAGGTCGCCTGTCAGCCTCCTTCTCACCAAACTAGACAAACCCAGAATCCTTAGCCACTGCTCACAGGACATGCCTTCCAGCCCTTTCACCAGCTTTGTTGCCCTCCTCTGGATACATTTGAGTACCTTCACATCCTCCTTAAATTGCAGAGCCCAGAACTACCCAGAGTACTCAAGGTGGGGCTGCACCAACGCTGAATACAACGGGACAACTACCCCTCTTCACCACTGGTCATGCTGTGTTTGATGGACCCCAGGATGGGGTTTGCCCTCTGGGCTGCCAGGGCACACTGCTGACATACTGAACCTGCTGCTGACCAGCACTCCAAACCCTTTCTGCCAGGCTGCTCTCCAGCCACTCGATCACCCTCTTTACATTTGTGCCTGGCATTACCCTGTCCCAGGTACAGAATTCAGCATTTCGGCTTGTTAAAATGTCATCCCATTAATCACAGCCCAGTGCTCCACCCTATCCAGATATGTAAGCAGGGAGAGAAAAGTTGGCTGTTCAGATTATGTTTACCCTTACAGTGTAAGGATATGGATCTGTATAGGAGGAAAGTGAAATATTATAGTAACTGTGCTCTTCCATCCCTGTTACATTTGGTACACTTTTGCTACCTCATAATATTGACATGGCGTATTTTTATAAGATATCATCACTCGTGTACCAAGTGATCCCAATACCTCCCCCCACCAAGAATTGCTGGATGCTGATAACATCAACTGCGATTAGTGGATCTTCCTTCCACAGCCTTACAGAATATAAAAAATTTAGTTTTTATTTTTAATTAAGAAAATAATACAAGGATCACTAATAATAGCCTTGGTGTGCTTGAGATAAACACAAGCAATTAATTTGGAAAGTCTCCATTAAAAGCAAAAAGCTGGCAAAAAAGGCACTTAAGCTAGATAATGTGAAATATGTTCATCTGATTTGTGTGATGAAGTGTAATCTTCTGTCCTACATACCCTTGTATGACCGCAAGCCTAAGTCTAGCAGAGTGGTTAATGTATATAGTTCCTGCCTCTTGCGAAAGGCACCTAGCGAACATTCTGGTATATCAGCTCAAACCAGTTTGACCACTGACCGCATAGTATTGTGTAAAGAGAAACTTGTAAAGTGCATGCATAAAGTTTGGGGTCATCCTGGGGGCACGCTGAGGAAGATTCGAGAAGACCCTAGAAGGAGAAGAGGGCATGCACTGGAAGAAGACACGCCTATTCATGAATATGTATTAGTATAAGGGATATAAACCGAAAACAGGAACTGTATGGCGTGCGTCTTCATGGAGCGGAGACTCCCGGCGCACCCAGCACTGTTTGCTTGCCTCTATTCGTTTAATAAATTGTAAACTTAAATTGGAATCCTGTTTGGGACTCAAGTCATTTATCTCAATAATATCTAAATCTTCATATAACCCTTAGCATCTCTCTTTAAAAAAAAAAAAAATCAGAAGGAAAGATGCCGTAATCTACTGACTCTACCTGCTTCATTCTTCAGGAAGTTTTGGCTGAAGTTACTGGTTACCATTATTGGTACAATGTTTAAGACGACATTTTATCATGGCTTGAGCATTTAAAATAAACTCTGCTGAGAGCTGCCATCTCAACACCACTTGAAAATGCCTATACAGTTTGAGAATGGGATTTTTAAAATAGAAATTATCTTAAAAACATCTACATTATAGAGAAAAAATAAGTTATTATTAAAAAAGCCTGCTTTAGCGTTTATCACAAGAATTAATGATGCTTACTGCAGCAAACTTGACAGCCCTTTCACTATATTGTAAGAAAGGGGTTGTTTCCTGACTTCCAATATTTTAAGATACTTACAAACTCTGTGCTCTGATTAATATTTGTTACTCACTACACCAGCCTGTATTTAAATATAAAGGATTCAAGATGAAAGGACATCCAACTCAGGTTTTCCATTTAAAAAAACACCACCAATCAGATGTATATCAGCACGGCCACTGTACATGTTTAACCTGCGGCTCCTGGGACAGTGACTTCAGTTGAATAGTAATGTTTGCATTATATTCAATTGAATTATTATTCAGTTGAATAATAATCAAATTACTGAAATAAACAGAGGCAGAGCAACACTTGCGCGCCGCCCCATCGCCGCTGATGGGTACCCAATTTCACTTTCTCCAGACGGACACCCGTGAGCCACATTTCCCTGACGCCGCCCCGCAGCACACTCGTCC